ATTTCAAGTGATGGTTGCTTGTTAACATCCTGTAATCCAAAGATGAGGTAGTTTTGGTTGGTTGGTTTTAATGAAGAATGAATCTTTATATTAACTATGCCTTTATCTAGATGGACTCCTTTTTTTAAAAAACTCATCTCATTTTTCCATCTAAACTTTTTGCTTTAGTGTTCTTGTCTACATCTCCCTTTTTGTTTCTTTCCCATTTGCTTTGATAACTGTGTAAAAAAGACGACTCTTCTCTAGCCCTCACTAGATTATTCCTTTGCCTGTGGCGATCTAGAATGCACCTAGCAGAAACTAATCAGAGGAAAAAAGAAAAATGTGACTAATCTTGATTATTTACTCTTGTTTTTTTTCTTCGTTAGAACCTATGAAATTGCACACACAAAAAAATCTATAAAAAAAGTACTATCATATGGATTGATCTTAAGTACTGAGCAGCCTATAGCCCCCAAACAATAGGATTTCAAAATTGATTGGATGAGACCCTTGAGAGGAGAGCTAGTGTTTCTGGTGTGGATAACGAGGCGGACAAGGGTGCTGCCTTGGTGTCAGTGCTATATTCTAAACTTGAACAGCATGAGGTGTGTGCTTGTTTTCACGAGGAAAGATTTCCCCAAAACCCTGAGCTCCCTGCCTTTGAGTCATTTCCGACTCATAAGGACCTTGCAGAACAAGGTAGAATTGCCTCTCAAGTTTCTGAGACTGTAACTACAGGAGTAGAACGCCTCCTCTTTCTCCCTCATAGGAGCTGGTGGTTTTGAACTGCTGACCTTGCACCTAATAGCCCAACGCATGCCCACTATGCTACCAGGTATTGTAGAATACATGGAGACACATCCAAGGAGATATGGCTAGCAGACAGTTGTAAATATGGATTTGTAAATAGCGAAATGGGATCATTGACAAATACGTGGCTCTGGGGAATAGGAATGTTAATGAGGTCACCCTGTGAGAGAGTAGAGTGAGGAGAAGGGGAACCTGTGACTTCTCTAAGCCTGGGAAGCCGGCTGTGCTAAGAAAACCGAAAATGGGGAAAGAAAAGAGGAGTCATTATTTAGGGAAAGAAAAGAGGAGTCATTATTTTGGAATAATTCATTGTGATATAGAGTTTAAAATTAACTTATACAGTCGTGGAAGGCTTTATGTATGATTTAATGCATGTTAAAGTGTTAAACTAGGGGGTTTCATGTTTCTCTTATAAACTCTCTTGTGGTTTGACGTGGGCACATTAGTGGGCGCATTAGTGCTCTATGGTTTCAGAGTACTGTATTTATTGTCAAGTGTTACCTTTCCTGTCTGACTTCTTTGTCTTACGTTTTGAAGTACCGGACTGCACTGAAATTGTATTTAGTCAGTGGCCATTGCAATTGATACCATTGCTCCAGCCTAGAAAAGCCCTTTTCTGCAACATGCCTTCTGGGACCCTTGCCATTGCAATCTCCAGAATCCTGTGCTTTGAAGTTTTGCAGAGGGCTGTTCCAACGTGAAAACAGTCTCTTTAGGCAACATGTGGGGGGACAGTGTGCAGCATTGCTGGCCTTAGTGGAACAGTGAGTTACAACGTGTACATTTCTACTGGCTTAAAAGCCACGTTAAACTCTCTGGTTGTTTAGAATTTGTACCTATCTGATGTTTTATATCCAGACATCAGTGTGAAGGAGTAGCAAAGAACTTTTTCTTTTATAACTCTTGTTAACATTTTGGATATCTCAGAATGGACTTTCTTTTAATATTTTTCTCTCCAATATGAAATATAAAGGGATTTTGTCCTTGGAGCATATTGGCAGTAAATTAAATATATGTTAATGTGCTCATAAACATAAAAGCTTCCTTTTATTTATAAAATGTATTATATGTGTTTACTTTTGGTGCTTTATTTAAAGGATCATTTACTTTTTTTTTCATTTACTAATTTTAATGAGCAAAGCTCTCCCAGCAAAAACCCATAGTTACATGTAGTGCCCTTTTGAATTTATTCTGTTTATATAGTGCCCTTGTACTCTTATGCTTGAAAAGTCAATCAATCATTCACTCATTTATTCTGCAACAATATCCTGATAACAAGTTTGACTATAAAATTAGGTTTTTTAAAAATTGTAAATGGAGTGAAAGAGCGAATTTCAACATGATCCATGTAACATGATGCCATTTTTATAAATTCTTAATCAGAGGGTAAAGTTTTAGCTGTGTTTGTGATAGTTCATTTCTATAAAAGTCCTGAAATCAATGTGGCATGATATGAACATCAGCTCAATTGGGGTATGATATAGGTATGTTAAACATTTAAAATTTTCCAGTACCATGGCCAGTGTGATGGGTTGTGCTGGTTGATTAAAGTAGGTCTTTATGTGAAAGTGAAATATGCTGAGACCTGACTAGCAAGGAGGCATCACTCATGTAAAATATATATAGAGAGAATAGTACAGACCAAGGAACAGCTATTGAGATAGAGCTGAGGCAGGAGCGGCATTGTTCAAAGAAAGTAGACCATTTAAGCCTATCTTGGTTAGAAAACCAACAACTAAGGTTGGAGGTTGCTACCGTAGCATCTTAGCACGACAGCATACATTGTTTCTGAACACTAATGGTGAAGGAAGCTCACTGTTTTCAGACCCTTCTGATCCTTACACAAAGTTTTTCCATGGAACACTTAGAAGACTGTTGGTAGCTGCTATCAAGTCAGTTCTCGCTCAGTGATCCTGTGTACGAGGGAATAAAATGCTGCCCAGTCTTGCAGCATCCTTGCAATCAGTATGTTTGAGCCCATTGTTGTAGCCACTGTGTCGGTCCGTCTCCTTGATGACGTTCCCTTTGCTTGCTTGGTTTTTCTTTTTTTTTTTGCTGATCCTCTTATTTAATCAGCACGATGGCCTTTTCCATGACTGGTCCCTCCTGATGACATGTTCTAAGTGTAAGAGATGAAGTCTCACCATCTAAGGAACATTCTGTTTATACTTTCAAGACAGATTTGCTCTTTCTTCTGGCATTCCATGATGCATTCAGTATTCTTGCCAACATCATAATTCAAATGCATCAATTCTTCTCCAGTCTTGCTTATTCATTGTCCAATGCTTCCATCCATATTCTCACCCACTGCCTTCAAGCCAGTTCCAACTCATAGCAACCTGTAGGACAAAGTAGAACTACCCCTTTGGTTTCTGAGACTATAAATCTTTAAAGTAGCAGAAAGCCTTGGTTTTTTCCTCCCAAGGAGCCCTTGGGTCAGGGACACTAGTCCTCAAGGTGACATCTTGCTCATGAACATTTAGAGAAGTCGGTAGAGAACGTTTCCTTTTCAGGTTTTGGGGTTGCCTTCTTGCCATGGTGGTAGTATTACCTCTGTAGTAACATCTCCCTCTGACTTTTATTCTGTGGCTTCCTTCAACATTTATGATTACATTGAACCCACCTAGATCATGTGGGATAACACTGTTTTAAGATCAGTTAATTAGCGATCTTAATTCTTTCTGTATCTTTAATTCCCTTTGCCACATAACCAGACATATTCACGGATTACAGGGACATGCACATCTTTGGGGGACTATTTCTGCCTACCACAAGTATGTTTAAATTTTAAAATTGCATAAGAAACCGGACCAGGAGAAGACTATTCCAAAGTGGAGATCTTAGTTGATACCAAAGACTGTGACTAGGACCAATAACTGGTTTTGAGCTCCAAGGAATTACTGGTGGGGTTATTATGGATATGGTTTTTAATTCTCTTATCAGCATTAAGTGCATGAGGAGACTTCACAAAATTCATGGGAAAATGGAATTTTCCCACAAATGTTTTGAAGCCCCTCGTATTTGGCAAACTCAGTATTAAAGAATGAATTAATGAAACAACTGAGTTTTAGTTACATGTTAGGGAAACAGACTCAAATCGAATAGATTTTATTTCTTGTGATAGTTCTTGGAGGAGATTTTTTTTTAAATCAGTTTATTAGGGGCTCATACAACTTTTATCACAATCCATACATACATCAATTGTGCAAAGCACATTTGTACATATGTTGTCATCATCATTC